ACGGAGGCACGCTACCATAACGGAAGTTATGTCACGACATGCGTGGTCACCGATGCGTCATCCGGTCACGCCCCTCTTGCGTCATACATTTTCATTCCCTTGTGGGAGAGCAGACCCCTGACGCCCCTGACCTATTCTTGAGATCTGTGACCTACGTTAAATGGCGAATCGCTTCGCACAAATGCACCATACCAGGACTTACAACACGGAAAGGCATCGAATTATGAAATACAGTTTTACTTTATTGAAAGTCGTCACAACACAACAATTAATAATATATGTACGTGCGTAGTTTCAAGTAGTATTTTACTATATGACAATAATATGAAATAGTATAAAATATAAAGTTATGGTGCTCTGAGGTCCGTTGTTATATTGCACGTTATTATTTAATTTTGATTTCTATTTGACGGGCGCTTCCAGTTATGTGTATATGTCCGATCTGGAAGGAGATGGATGGATGATTGATATATACATAGTCCTATAACGCCCATGTCTGTTTTAACAAACGTGCTGTCGTAATATGTCGCAAGAAAGACTTAGGTCGTGGATTTCCAATCCCTTGGTTTCCGCTAGAGGTTCTCAGGGCTCGATAGATAAATTTGTCTAATGGCGGATTTCATTATACAAAACAACGTCGAGAGTAGTTTTCTGTTAATTCCACAATATGGTTTCCTTCAGCAATTTTCAGTTATTTAGCTGATGAAGGAAATTCCTGTTTTCATGAAACCAGAAAGTTCATAATCGAGTTTACAAGAGCCCACCAATTCACCCTACAGAGAGCAGGTTCAATCAAGCTGACAGTTTTACAACGTGTATTTCTAAGATATGTGTCAATAATTTCCTCCCATCTAGGCCTGAAATTTCAAAGCGGTTTCTTTTAATGACATTTAACTGTCTCTGTGGTAAAAGAAGTGGAAAGTTCAAGTTCGGCAGTATCAAATTCACCAGTGGCAGTATCCTGAACTACTTCCTTCCGCTATCCTTCTCCACAACTACGATATATCATCATCATCATCATCATCATCATCATCATCATCATCTACAAGGACTTGGCCTTTGGCCAATTCCGATCCTAGGTTTATTCTAACTGCTCCCTCTCGTAGGAAATATCTTATTTTATCGTTTCCTTTACCACTTCCCAAAAGGCCCTTTGCAAAATGTTGATGAATTTTTATGAATTCCTTGTCTCCATTTCTGTCCATGTTCAGCTCCTTAGATATCTCGATCTTAATAATTTTACGTGGCTATAAACCAAGAAGACCCTCATTATATAATATTCTAATTGCTGTCATTCTACCAAATTTTTCATGAACATTTTCTCAAGTAATTATGTTTATGCCCCTTCTTCACTGAAAGAGGCCACTTTTGCACTCGAAACAAAATTCTGTATACATAACTTAGCATCCTTCATGTCGAAACCATCTCATGTTTCTTATTTCATTTTAATTATGTGAAGAATACAGCACCGATGCTCCAGCTTACGTAATTTTGTATTATCTTTGTTGTGTAGTCCCCGTTATATCCAGACAATGCCCTCAGCACTACGTTTTCTAGGTTACAACACGACGTTTATCTTGTATTCATTTTCGAATGAAGATGACTCCAGAGGACCGAAACATGTAAGGCCATATAAATATTTAAAACGTTTTTAGACTGAATAGCTTGTCATTCCAAGATTAATACTCGTATAGGCTTCTTTCAACTTCCCCGGTGATGGAAAATTGTTACTGCCTGCTTTATGAACATTTCAGTATTGTGGCATTATTTTAGTGTATGCAAATCCTAACTCACTTATCTGGCTCAATTACCTTCTCTTCCCGACCATAGAGGCACTGTCTGACGTCACATGACAACTGGCACGAGTTCACCGCCTCTGGTAGCTGATCTAGACTCCAAAGCTTTTGTTGTGTGTCATTCAGAAATGCCAATTTCCCAGACCATGAGTTAGTTTATTTTTGCCATTACAACGTTCTTTTGGACTAGACCTGCCCGGATCTGGCCTGAGGTTGTGAGAAGAGAAATTTCGCATGCTGTAGGAAGGCGAAGGAAGGAGAGGAAGAGAAGACGAGAGGAGCAGAGGAGAAAGTACTGTCCACAAGCATCTAGACCGCAGAGAATGCCAGGCTTTCTAGGACTCTCAATACACAGTCGCAGATTCTTGCATAGACAATGGATAGCTTATTTTTGCTACAAGGTTCTGTGTCTTTTTACAAAACATTTTCTTTCAATGTTTTCACATAGCAGAGAATCAGTCAAGTCATAGCATTCAGTGTTCATCAGTGGAGAGACGAAACTGGACAGAATTAAAATTATTTTTGGAAATATAAACGTTGAGGCTAAACTTATTGTCACACGATTAGGGGGTCCGTTGCAAGAAAACGGCTGGACAAATAAGTATTGCTAGGTAACGGGTGTGCACTCAAAAGTAGAGGAACCGGTGGAGGTGTTGTTTGTGCGGTCCGTGCCGAAATTAAGAAAGGAGAACAGTCGTGTCCCTGGTCGTGATCCTCAAGGGAATTGGCTCTAAGACGAACTGATTTGCTGTTAATTGTCAGTCTTAAATTAACTATGACTCTGACTGGAAAGGACCTTCACCGAAGCACTGCGAGTCGTAGGAGGCGACGAAAAGGAAACCCAGTAACTGGGGTATAACTGGGCTGTCCAGTTCCTGGGGAATATAAAGACGGGGCCTGGCCCTCCAAGTTGCGGGAGTCTCGAATCTGAGACAGTAAAATGTGATCATGACTCCTGCGGGACTCGGACCCGAGAATGACTGCGCTGGCGAGGGTCAGCAGCAGTTGTAAACGACAGACCTGTCTTCTCGTCAGAGAGAGCGCCTTACATAAACATGCTCGCAACTGTCTGACAGTAACAAAAATCTGACCTTGGGCCCCAGATGGACCTTGACACCGAGAGAGACTGGCCGACTGACCATCGGTAGTAACATAATCTTGACCACAACTGTGGCTTGATACCAAAGTCTCTCATTCAGAAAGACAAACCCCTTCCCTCGTGGAAGAGGAGACCCAATTTCCAAACACATAAACGGTCTTGGAAAGAACATAAATTAGATCATGGGTCCCGGCTGGGCTCGAAACCAAGAACGACTCTGCTGGTTAGGGCTGGCCTGGATTGGTTTGAACCGGTTGCAAGCCAGTCGCCAGCCAGCGAGGACAGGAGCCGTTGAACACGGAAGCAGTAAGGGGAATTTGCATTGACAACACCTGCTACGAAGCAACCGGCACACGAAGATAGCCATCTGAGAAGACAGCGTGTGCTCTAGCGATTGGTTAAGCGTGTAAATTAGCGATAGCCTTATAATTATTGAATTTGCGAGTTGTCAAGTATTTAACAAATCGAAGTATGGACTCTTATCATTAGTCTGGTCACTAACGCGTGACACTATGAAGTAATTTCTATAATCTGTGTGAACCCACAGAAAAACGATTGCCGACAACGATGATGAATATAAATGTAGGTACTTAGTCTTCCAAGAGTAGGCCTGCATATAGGTATTTTAAGTATTTTGAAACTTTCTTTTTCTGTCGCTTGCAATTGTTAAATGGAGTTCCACAATATGAAAGTTGCGAACTCTGTGTGTACTTCATGGTGTTCATGCACACCAGAATTATGGCCTATATTCGCATTGACATCCATCGCTATACCACCCAAGACTCTACAGGACACATTTGCTTTCTACACGGACTGTCACAGTAAGGAGTGATTCAGTAAGAATGAATGGTTATGGGAAATACGTGAATAAAAGAAAGTTAATGTAATAAAGTTACATTAAAGTAGACCTGAAGAAGGGAACCTATCTTGCAAGAACCAAAGTTTACTGGAGAAGGCCTTAATTTATTATACACAGAATTCAACAAGTTCAGTAAAGATTGGAGGAGCATAAACTTCCTTTGGTTATACAACTCTTTTTTTATAAATATGTGTAGATATTGCATATATTCATGGAAAATCCAGGACAGTTGTTTATGACTGTGTGGTACCTCTGGTGCGAGTAGACTATATTGTATCTGCACTTTAAAATTTTCTGAACTTTAGAAGTTATAAACTTGAATGAGAAATTCGTTATTTACTTTTTTAATGAAGTAACATATTTTGTAGAACACAATTCTGAGATGGATGAATAGTCAGGTATTAGAACTGCACGATCATGTGTAAATAAGATTTTTGCAAGACGCTTTTGATTTAGGAGAAAAAAAAACAAAGAAGATGCAGCTGTACTAAATATAGACGTCTTTNACTCGTATCAGCGTTCAACTTTGCCAGTCTCGAAACAGTATCGGACAACAGTGACGTCAGCATTCTCTGCCTCGAAAGAGGAGGGGACGAAGGAGGACGAAATTTCTACTTCGTAGACATACAGATGCCTACAATCTGGACAACGGACGAATAGGGATGAGTGGCATTTTGATACAAGAAGATGCAGACAGTGTTAATTCGAAAGTTGACTAGTCGTATTACAATAAGTTATTAAGGAGTAACTTCATGTCATGACCGGACTGCACCGCCTAAAGGAACGCACTCTCATGAGACGCATTATCCTCCTGCAGTGCTCCTGCCTGCCATTCCGACGCGCCTTTACTGCTATACTTTCCTGCTTGCACAGCTGAATCGTGCAGCACAGCTCATTTCCTTGTTTTGTCTTCCTGTCTTTTTTACGCCTTCATTTTTTCTTCCAGTTCTCTTGTCCTCTGTTCTCGTGTCGTCTATTTCTTTCTGTAATGTTGTATTCCCTTCTTATTTCTTCCTCCGCTATTTCTTGCTTCTTTATTTTCCTCCTTTCTTTCATTTTCCTTATTTTTCTTCTCTGTTTTCTAGTTCTTTCTTTATTTTCTTCCTTCCATTGTTCCTCCTCAAGCATCTCAGTCTGCACCCAGTTGCCCTGCTCCTATTTAAGTGCTGGCTCGTGACGACATTGTGGACGGGTCCACCCAGCGGAAGGTGCGCGCAGACACAGCTGTTGAGATCGTCCCCTCGCGTGGGCACACACGCTCGTGACATGATGTCTTTTGAGACCTACATCCGAATACGTTATCAGTCGAGTTTTGTACGCGTGAGGTAGAAGCTGCATGGGCTCGAGAGGGTTGGCAGCAGCGAGTAACCACAGCGTTGGCGGGAGTGAGTTGAAGCAGCAGACTTGCGCCGGGGACTCGCTTGCAGCGGTGAGGTGGGGTTTCAGTAGCCGCGGAGCCAGCAAGCATGGTAGTTGTATGCGTTAAGATGTTGTGACGTGTGTTGCGCGCTACTGAACCATGGCGGCGTCGGCGGCTATGTTACTGCTAGCGCTGAGTCTGGTGGTGGACGTTTCAGAGGCCTCAAAACCGGATAATGCCACGCAACAGTGCGAAGACGGACTTCTTCTCCCAGTGTGGTTGCCTTTGGACAACCTTAGCATTGGCGACCGGGTCGCCAGAGGACTTGTTTACTTCTCCGCCATGCTGTATCTCTTCATTGGTGTGTCAATCATATCAGATCGCTTCATGGCCGCTATTGAAGTCATTACGTCTCAGGAAAAGGAAATCACTGTGCGTAAGAAGAGTGGGGAGACGCAGATCCTAGTGGTGAGAGTGTGGAACGAGACAGTGGCCAATTTGACCCTTATGGCCCTCGGGTCTTCTGCTCCGGAGATTCTTCTTTCTATTATTGAAATTTATGCCAAGAATTTTGAGGCAGGTGATTTAGGTCCCGGTACCATCGTTGGTTCGGCCGCTTATAATTTGTTCGTTATAATAGCAATTTGTGTGATGGTGATCCCAGAAGGGCAGGTCCGGAAGATCAAACACTTGCGAGTGTTCTTTGTGACAGCCACGTGGTCAGTGTTCGCCTATGTATGGCTATACATCATTCTGTCCGTTTCCTCGGTTGGCGAGGTAGAGGTGTGGGAGGGCCTCCTTACCTTCATGTTCTTCCCAGCCACCGTGATCACAGCCTACATTGCAGACCGACGCCTCCTCATTTATAAGTACCTGCACAAGAACTACCGAATGAACCGGCGCGGCGTCATTGTGCAAAGCGAAGGTGATGTCGAGATGAGCAACAAAATCAACCATATAGACGGCGGCCTCAAGACCCTGGAGGAGGAGGCTGAGAGCGAGGAGGTGCGTGAGTTTGAGCAGAACCGCCGAGAGTACATCACCACCCTCCGGGAGTTGAGGAAGAAGTACCCGGCTATGGACCTGGAGCAGCTCGAAATCATGGCCCAGGAGGAGGTCCTAAACAAGGGGCCAAAGAGTCGCGCCTTCTATCGCATCCAGGCCACGCGCAAGATGGTTGGAGGCGGCAACATCATGAAGAAGATCCAGGAGCGCGCCCAGAGTGACCTGTCCGAGGTGAAGGCAGAGTTGCAGCGCGAGGAGGATTCCGGCATAAAGGTGTTCTTCGACCCTGGCCATTACACCGTCATGGAGAACGTGGGCGAATTTGAGGTGCGTGTGGTTCGCGAGGGTGGCGACAGTAACCAGGTCATCATGGTCGACTACGCCACGGAAGACGGTTCTGCTAATGCAGGTTCCGATTATGTTAGCACTCGGGGAACTCTAGTCTTCCGTCCTGGCGAGACTTTTCAGACGTTCCGTCTCCAAGTTATAGACGATGACGTCTTCGAAGAGGACGAGCACTTTTACGTGCGGCTCAGTAACCTGAGGACGGGTCAATCCAATGGTGACGCTGCTCCGGCTCCAATTCGACGTCTTTCTGCCAAACCTTTGCCACCGCCTCCGGCTCCACAGTTGGTCAGCCCTTCACTCGCCACCGTCATGATCCTGGATGACGACCATGGAGGAGTGTTCAGCTTCCCCGAGAAGGATGTGGAGTTAGTTGAGTCTGTGGGTCAGTGTGAGCTTCGGGTGGTGCGATGCAGCGGGGCACGAGGTCGAGTTTCCGTAAGCTATTATACGGAGGATGGAACAGCCAAGGCCGGCAAGGAGTACGAGGCCGCCCATGGAGAGCTCATCTTCGAGAACAACGAGTCTGAGTAAGTAGTTACGTCACTGGTGAACTCGAGTTTCATATGTTTCAGGCACGATGGAGACAGGTATTCTATTTGTCTTGTGTATGAGATGTGTCTGCGTCATTTGACATTTCTTCCAACATATGTTTCGTGTCGGTAATCTTCTTCCTTCAAGGCGTATACGTACTTGTATGTATAAACGAATCTTTAATTCGTTCAGTGGTCAGCTGTGCTCCGTGAGTTCCTGAAAGCAGTAGAGAGGCCTATTAAATTTCTATGGGTGGAGTCACTGAAGTCATTGGCAACATCTCACTCCCAAATAAGAGTTAGTTGTGTAATGGAATTTATATAGTTTACCGTTTTAAAATAATACAGTATGGTGTGAGTATTAATCCAGGTCGCTGACCTACATTTTAAAATAAGGGGGCGGGCCATGACAGTGACCCAGATTGAATTACACTAGCGATTTCAGTTGAAAATATTATGGTCTACAGTTTTATACCGACGTTCTTATTTTAATAGTAAATGTCGTACTTTTTCTGGCTGAACTTTATATCGTATGAAAAATTTCAACTTTGTTGCATTGGTAATGCATTAACTTTATTTTTGTAGACATTCATTAAAAACTTCCGCTTATTGATGAATCTGTAAACAACACAGAGAATATTCAGGATGGACAGACAATACTGTTTGATGTTCAGGCGGACACGCCCCTCTGTCCAGGCAAACTCGTGTGTCTCTGCATATGAAATAATATTCCAGTGCGTTTGCCTGTGTAATAAGAACGGGATTATAATGACGTTTTAAATATCATAATAGAGGCATTTGATACAAAGTAGATCGCTATCTTTAGTTTCCCTGGGACAAGTAAGTGAAATATCTATAAACAACACTGACAGACATCAGAGCTCATTTTCATAGTCGGCATGTGAATACCTGTCACCAGTCGGGGAAAATTGACAAATAATTTATACAAACTGTTTTATTATATATGTTATGTATCATCTTCGTGTCTTATTTAACAACGCTTTCTTGACTCCATTAGTTAAATTAAATGGGACGATTTTTGTGAATTATGAAGAAGAAAGAATACGTAAAGTTACTACCACCGTTTGTTTTAATGTACACTGCTTTCTCTACATTTGCTTAAGAGGCGAGGATCTAAACCGGACCACCCAAGTACGGAGTAACAGCGCTTAATCTCTCGTCCTTTGATTGATTAAATTTGACACTGTCTCCCATATATTAAAAATTTCTTTCCAATATTGATTTTCTCAGAAAATATGCCTTATTTCTCGTGTAACAAAATGCAATTGAAGGAAGATGTGATCCTTATACTTTCTCATCCTCACTCTCTCTCGCGACGTGTTACAAGCGCAATGTTAGTGGCAATAATAATGCAATGTGATGACGAACCTAACGTAAATTTTTTTTAAAGTAATGAGTGTACGAGCTGTCGTAAACGACACACACACACACACACACACACACACACGAGTTTGTTTCATGTGATCTATCTGTCTGTGGCTCTACAGTCCTTGTGGACCTTGGCCGCTTTTTCAGTGTCCTAATCCTATACACAGTCGGCGGAACTCCTTGGACGGGGAATCAGCTCGTCGCAAGGCTGCTACCTGCACACAGAGCTACACAAACACAAAACAAACACGCACAGACATCCATGACTCGAGTGAGATTCGAAACCAAGATCCCAGTGTTCGAGCGGGCGAAAACGGTTCATGCCTTAGACCGAGCGGTCACTATGATCGGCCTTCGTGTGGTCTACAATTACATTTTACACTCCAGATGTTTCATTACATGTGTAGTAAGAATTGTTGTATCGGTTAGATGGGTGCAGAGCAATAACCGGCTCTCGCTTTCACTTCGCTGACTGTAGACTTGAAATTATGAGTTTAATCTTGGAGTGTTTTAGCATCTGCAGTTGCGAAGTGGCATCGCTTCAAAACAGCTATTTGACTTTCCGGATATACTAGTAGCATGTGAGTGGTGTTGATGTCTGTGATGCTTACGCGTTGCACCACTTCAATAACGAATGCCCTGATGCATGCTTATCGGAGTGCTCATTCTGGTATGTCCTTCCACGTGTAACTTCTTCTGGACGACAAATGATCCGACGAGATTTGTCGAGTTTTTGGCCTATAATATAATTTTGGATTCACTCTAAATTATAGTGCCCTTCTTGTCCCTGTCCCCCCCCCTTTTTTTTTGTTCTGAATTCGCTTAATGGGGAGTGGAGTCCAGCTGGGTCCACTCGGCACGGCGGCCACTGATTGGCCTATTGTAGCCTGTCCCGGGTGATTATGATNTGTACACAAACACAGAAAAACGCACACACACACAAACTAAACATGCATGTCCTGAGTGGGACCAGCGCCACTTTGTCCACCACAAATCTCACTTTACCAGACCCCGGGATCGAACCCGGGCCGCCGCGGTGGGAAGCCAGCGACTAACCGCTTGAGATATGGCGCGGCCCTTTCTTTTCTCTTAATGATACGGTCCGATTCACACTCTTTGCACCTGAATTTGGAACTCTTTTGAAGGTTGTGGTATTGCCAGTTATATGTGTGTTCTCAGATGTAGCTAGTCAGGGCTAACAACAGAGGCAGTAAGAAGTGAACAAAGCTAAAGCTATCCCTGTAACAGGTCGTGAAGGTCCATAGGAATGTGAGACGTCGCGGTTTCCAGGGATGGCGGTGAGGTTTTCAGCCCTACGCGCCTGCCGCCCGTCACACTTCAGGAAGATTCCCGGTACTTATTTATGTTAGAGGCTGATTCGACCCCAGGGCCATAATGAGGCCGGAAGGATCAGGTAAATTGAAAAACTCCAATGATCCCATCGCGATTCGAACCCAAGACCTTTCTGCTTGTATCATAGTGCCTGAACCAACTACGCTACCGGGTGCCCTAAGAACAGAGACAGTACCATAAGAAAGGATGTCAGCCAGTTATCATAGCCATATCTTCTTTGTCTACGGGCTGGACGACCGAGGGGTCGGAGTTCGAGTCCCGGTAGGGACAAGAATTTTCTCTTCTCCATGTCGTCCAGACCGTCTCTGGGGTTCACCCAACCTTCAAGCCAATGGGTACCGGGTGATCTTTCCAAGGGTGTAAAGCGGCCGGGGCGTGAAGCTGATCACTCACCTCCAACTAGTGTCGAGGTGAAGAAAATGTGGATCTATACATCTACTCCCCCATACACCTTCATGGCGTGGTGCTTAATTAGTGAAGAACAGGGACAACTTTACCTTACCTTTCACAAGACAGTAGATTTCCGAGAGCTGTACTACACGTAAATACTTGTAACGTTCTTTACTGATACTCGTCATTAGAATAATTAATATCGTATTTAATATGTCCCCAAAATTTAGGTATTNTTGCTTAATTAGTGAAAAACAGGGACAACTTTACCTTTCACAAGACAGTAGATTTCCGAGAGCTATACTACACGTAAATACTTGTAAAGTTCTTTACTGATACTCGTCATTAGAATAATTAATATCGTATTTAATATGTCCCCAAAATTTAGGTATTATTCCAGGTTACAGATATTCACAAAACTGTTGGTGAGCTTTAACATTTCAATTAGTCGCCCATGATCACCGCGTTTCGGTATTTCATATTAAATCACAAGCCTCCAACATTTCGTTCCAGCCTCTTGCATTTTATACGTACACATGGCCGTACCTAATCTTCATATATTCACTTTGTAAATTTGAAAGTTAGATAAAGCGTTTGTTTTGTGTTGGTAAATGGAAGGACTTGCTTAGTGGATGCGGCGGTTGATGATGTCCAGTGCATATTGAGGAACCTCGCAATATTGCTGCACGAAAGGCAGCGTGCTGCACTAAGGCAGAAAACTATTTCGTACGTTTATGATAAATGGCACAGGTTGTGTGTATATGTACCATGTTATACAAGGGATGAATGTAAAAAGAACATGGGACAGGATAAAGCATGGCATAGTTTGTATGACAAATGACGGCGATCGGTTGAGTTTCCAGTAGGAATTATATTAGTGGATATATGCTGCAGTGTATTCTGCATATGTCCGTTTATTTGACTTCCGAATTTGATTACTTTCTACTTGTGTTTCTTCTCAGATGAAGTTCCGGAAAACACAGTACTGAATAGAATTATAAGACGGAACAAGAATAAAATAAGCATAGCGTATTCTACATTTTGTTTTTACTTTTGCATTAAAGTTGCTTTTTCACTATTAGAGGTAATATTATAGAGTTTTTGTTCAACGTTCAGAGAAATATACCGATGAAGATAGGTTCCTGTCTAATAAAGGTTTAATTTTTATCAGGTTTTACTGCCCATGTTAGGTGGGTCCCTTGTCACCAGACCATGAAGCCTACTCAGGTTGCAGAATGAGGACACAGCCTCCAGGTATGGAGAGAAGCTGCGAATATATTGAATAAGCAGTCGCGGACAACCGACAAGTTGTGGTCTTCCAGCTTCGGGGTTGGGCGTCTGGCTAATAAGGTCTCATCATACAAAATAAGCTTGTTACGAAATGTCACAAAGGGTCCCTGACTTTGACGAATTATTTGGAAAAACGACCTAAGGTAAGCAAAATGTACACGGGGTTTGGTACAAAATGGATCTTAGAGAGATAGGATGGAGTGGGATCGACTTGATTGATCTGGCTCAGGATAGGGACCAGTGGAGGGTTCTTGTGAACGCTGTAGTGAACCTTTGGGTTCCATAAAATGTTGGGAAGTTCTTGAGTAGGTGCGTGACTGGAGGCTTCTTAAAGAGGGCTCAGCTCCACGAAGTGTCAGGTTTCACTGTACAGCACTCTGTATGTATGTATGTATGTATGTAGAATGAACAGCATCACACAGGTTGCTCTATGTTCTGCATTGTACAGAGTCCTCTACAGCCATGTCCTTAGTAAACCGAATGAAATCATGCACTGTAAATGCAAACGTCCTGTCAACCAGACCGATTTAGCTTTCATTTGATTTCTGCTGTAAGCATTATGGTGACGCAATGTA